TTATAAATACTACATATAATCTTTGTATACTTAAGATTCATGAACACAATTTTACAGGTGAACAAACTACAACAACTCAGAGAGACTAAGTAATTGTCAGAGTTACCCAGTAAACATTACCAGCATGCTCCAATTAATCATTGCCAAATTAAAAATTTCACTTAAACCAAGGAACGTTGCCAAATTAAAAATTTCACTTAAACCTAGGAACATTCCCTTTATGACATATTAAATATTTTTGTTCTTTCTGATGCTTAATATTTTACAAATCATTTTGGTTCTTTTCACTCACATTAATTTCATATGTGTACCTTCAGTGAAATATAACTAAATTTCCTAATATGTGTTTGAAAGTGAAAACTGAAAACACTGGAAATGCAGACAAACAGAATACACTATAATAGAATTACAGAGTAAAGCACTTTACAAACATCTCAGTGGTCCCAAGATTAAGTACCACTTGTCCAGGTCAGAAGCAACTGGCCTTCGAGATAAACATCCCATTATAACAGCAACCTCAAAGACAGACACAAATTATTATCCTAGCTGTTTTTCTTCCTGTATTCTTGAGAAAGCTGCTGTCCCCTAAATCGAGCATCGAAAATCGTTCCGTGAGGATACAGTACTCTATGATGTCAGTAAGAAGAAGATATGGGTGTAATTCCAAATGTTCCTTCTTCTATTTAATTTGCCTCAGAGGATGTTGTACCTTTGAAGTATGTGAATGTCTTTAAGCATGGTATTTCTTGAGTTAATCAGGTTCGACATCTCATCTCTCATTCAAGCATCAGAGGTGTTCTCTGTATCAACCAGCCTGGGAATTAGTAGACTAGTGCATTTTTTGTTCATTCTCCAGATTCAGTTCTATAATGAGCTGCTAGGTATTGTCTTTTGCAGGCGTTTCAATAATTTTAGAATGAATGAAATGCCAGGTACTCTTACTTATTCTGAAAGTAGTTACCTGGCCTGCTTAAAAAAAAAAAGTCTCTTACCAGATCTATTCTCCTGAGATCCACCAATCTATATGCTAATATTCCAAGTTTTTCATTAGTTTAAAGCTATCCACCTTTTTACACTCTTGAATCTCCTTAAACATGTCTAGCTCAGGCTTAGCATTATGAATACGGATGCTGCTATTTTTCAGAGAAAGAATGTGCTCTTTGGGAGAGGTATCTCTAGTTTGTCTTACATAAGAACCTTCTGAATCCTTCACATTCACCATCTCAACTGCATGTGGAAGGTAATGTTATTTTTCCCCATTTTTGCACGTGGAATGACAGAATTTCAGAAGACTGGTTGGGCTTACATATTAATTACCTGAAAGACATGGAAATAAACATTTAACATTCTATGTCTTCTTTGGAAATTCCAGGTATCTCTTGTCCAAAACCTTCTGTCTATAAACCAATAAAGGTCAAATTCTTGGCCCTTATCTGAAAGTCTTAATCTGGCTTTCTCGTTAATAAAAATTGTGTCGTATAAAACTCAATTGGCATTTATCTTAAGGATCCAGGTAAAGATCTTCTGTACCCTTCTAGCAGATACCTTAAGGTTTTCAAAGTTAAATAGGAATACTACATTCACTTATGTAGCCATCCGTGATTATTTGACATTTGATTATCCAAAGACTAGTCCGTTTATCTCTGAACTTACTATCCACATACAGGCCCCCTCCACCTTGATATTTTGCACATCTTTCTTCTGTGAAAAGTAGTTATAAACCATACAGAATTCTTTATGTCCTAGCCCAGCACCTTCCTAGCTCTTAATGCAGTGTGTATGATTGGGGTAGAGAGAGGAGACATATTGGAACTGATAAATGATTCTCCTAAGATTTGTCTCAGTACTTACGTTAGTTCATGGTTTATGGTAGAGAAACGTGGGGAGGGTGGAAGTGATAAGGTTGTTATATGAGTCACTGAAAGTTGGAGAATAGATGTTATAAATTCCACATTTTTGATCTAGATTATCCACCTTGGTAGGAGCCAAGATACAAAGAGTTTGAAGGACAGGGCAGTGTTTTGCTAAGAAAGACTGAATGCTGTGATACATTCGAAAGCGCAAAGATGTGCCTAAGAATTAATTTAAAGATTTAGGCAGGATTCCAACGGATCAAATATCAGTAGTGGTTTTTTTTTTTTTTTAATTTAATCTAAAAAGAGCCAGAAACTTAAATAAAAATTGAGGCAGGTTTCCAAAGGATTCTTTGAAGTTGAAAAGATGTATTTTAGGGAAGAAGTAAATGATTTATTAGAAAATAAGTAAAAAAAACACATTAAATAAATGCCTGTTTTGGAACAGGTAGTTCACACCCTCTCAGTTAATTGCCAAAAGAAGCTCAAAGATAAGAAAAATTACTTCATTTTGTCCCTGAAGAAGCTAAGGCTTAGGAAAGTAAGGGAATCAGCCCAAGGGCACCCCAAACCATTTCTATGAATATCCAGTCTGCTCAAATATTCATAGAAGGTGAATTTAATATTGGTGTCCTTATAGCGTGAGTTAAGATTCAATATAACTTTGAATTTCAGCACTGGATGGTTAGCCACCCATGAGTCAGTCAACAGCATTCTATGACCATCTAAAACAGACAAGGAACAGATTAGAATTCTGAAGGAAAATAATATTATACTCCCAAGATGGATTCTGGAGAAGATAGAATATGTACAAATCTAGAGAAAAATGTGCACCTCTACAGAAATATGTGTACCTAGGAATCATTTTGTGATTCCAGGTCACAAAATATGTGTCCCAGAATCATTTTGTAAGCAGTTAAAATGAGACTGGGGATGGGTGTTGAAATTACCTGAGTTACTTAAAATAGGTTAGATACATTCACATCTAGAAGCCTGAAGTTTACAGACTGTGGTAGACATAATGAAGTTAAGAATCATTTAATCCTTACATCAACCTTGTAGAGTAGATGCTGGTGTTACTGATGATGAACCTACATCAGAAAGAGGTCGAGCACCTGGCTTGAATTTCCAGAGCTGATAAGGGGCAGAGCTGGCGTTTGAACTGAGCCAATACCAGAGCTGCTCCTCTTACACTGAACTCACGGTTCTTCATCAGTGGGACCACACTTCCGTGTAAGTGTGTGAGCCATGTTTGCCTAGGGACGTAAAAATTATGATTCCCTAGTCAGTGACAAATTTTATATGTGAAAACACTTTCCTGTTCTTAAAGGAGTAAGTTCGTTGATTTAGTCAACAAGTATTTATGGAATACCTACAGTGGCACACACTGCTCATGGTGGGGTAGACCAGTGATGAGAGAGACGGACCCTGCTTTATTATACACTCCGGTCCTAGGCACTCACTATGCAGCATTCACATTCCATTACAGTGCATGCTAATTTTGAAAATAATACACATTCTCATTAGCTTGAACAAATGAGTTACCCTTACAAATTAACATCACTCTACCACTATTAAGCGGGAAGGTTTAGGTTATTCTTATTTAGAACCAAAGGAGCAGGTACAACACTCCTGCAGTCTTAGAAGGATTTTATGAATGAAGGTTTAAACCTTGTATCTTTATAGTTACATTCTTCCTAGTTACACTCTTGTTCATTAAGGAACAGGTTTCTCCCACTGCCCCAAACTGCTTGTCAACATACTGCTCCGTGTCATCCACCCAGTATGCTGTAAGTAATAAGTGGTGGAATGATGTGTCTAAGAATGTGGAGGTGAGGCATATATAGTACCCAGCCTACATGCAGGAAATTCACGCTGCCACTACTATCCCATCCCCACACTACTAATCATTTGCCAAATTTAAATGGCTTTTTAAGCGAAACAATGTTGTTCTTTCTTAATGGTAAATGCCCGCCTCTAAAAATCAAGCTACAACTCCTTCAAAATCAATTAACATTCCACAAACGTGCTAAGGTGATTCTACATTTTAATGAGAGGGGAAGGCTCTCGGAATCTTTTGCCCCCCTTGCTTTGTAACCACGCTCCCGTACAGGGTGTGAGCAATGCCCAGCTCCAGAAGGGCCCTTTGAGGGTCTGCTGACTAAGCCTGCACGCAGGGACCCACCGGCGTCACAGAACAGGAACAGGCTCTCCACATACATGCAGTTCACAGCTACACACTCAGGCGCCGATGCCCACGGATGGGCATGTTTGTATGCGTGTGCTGTGAGCCTGCCATGGTCTCCCTCTCATTCACCTGACCCTTGAGGGATCCCTGCAGTTGCCTAGAACTCGGGGAATAAACAGGGAGATGAGGCAAATAGCCCTTTTCGCTTCCCTGGAGACAGGTACCGCTGGGTCCCAGGAATCTGCAGTGCTCTCTCTGACAAGCAGCTAATAGAGGGAGACCGAGATGAGCGAGAGAATCCAAGCAAAGAGGAAGGGGCCGTTGCACAGGAGATGATGCTTCGGAGCTACTGAGCTACGGTTTCCGTGTTTTTATACACAAAGCCCTGGGAAGCTGCAGGGGAGGCCAAAAAATCTAAAATCCTGTGAGATTGTCTAACCTTGCCTAGAAGCCTCCGCTGGGCCCCGTCCTGCGCGGGGTTGAGGAATCCGGGCGATCGCCGGCTGGACGCACCGGCTGAAACTCGAGGCGCCACATCCAGCACTTTGCGCTTCGGAAGACGCGTCCCCGCACCATTTTCACAGGCGCTTTTGCGGGTTTCTTAAACCGCCCAGCTGGTGTTTCGGAAGGGAGTTTCCAGAAGCTCCATCTATTGCCTCCCTCCCCCCTACCTTTTTTTTTTTTTTTTTTTTTTTTTGGATTTTTACCCCTGCGAAGAGCTTCCCCAGCTGCACAGCGTCCGCCCTCCGAGGGGTCCCGGGGCGGCCTCCCCGTCGCCCACGCCGCCTCCTCCGGGCCGGCCCGGGGGCTCGACCCAGCGCTGCCGTCCGGCGGATGGTCTCGCGCCGGGGCTCCGCGGCCGCTGCCCGCCGTCCGACACTCCCCGCCCTCCCGCACGACCCCGCGCCCCGGCGGGCGGCGCTTGCGGCGGGCAGGAGGCGGGCGAGGGACCCGGGGCTCGTCCGGGGGTAGCCGCCGCCTCTGCAGCCCGCCCGCCCGCGCCCCGCGCCTGGGAACCCGGACCTGCCTCCGCCTCTTCCTCCGGCGGCCGCATCCTCCCTCCGCCCGCCGCGCGTCCTCCCGCCGCCCCCGCCGCCGCGCCCCCGTGGCTGCCTCGGCGGACCGGGGAGGGGGCCCGGCGCGTCGGCCGCCAGCTCGGCTCGGCTCGGCCCGGCCCGGAGGCGTGCATGCCCCTGCTGCCCGCGGCGCTCACCAGCAGCATGCTCTATTTCCAGATGGTGATCATGGCAGGGACGGTGATGCTGGCATACTACTTCGAGTACACGGACACGTTCTCCGTGAACGTGCAGGGCTTCTTCTGCCACGACAGCGCCTACCGCAAGCCCTACCCGGGCCCGGAGGACAGCAGCGCGGTGCCCCCGGTGCTCCTCTACTCCCTGGCCGCCGGCGTCCCCGTGCTCGTGGTAAGCCCGGGGCTCGCCCTCGCTGCCAGCTCCCTCCTGTCGCCCCAAGCCTTCGGGGTTGAGGCCGGCTGAGGGTTGGGGCGCTGCAGCCTTTGCCTTCTAAGTTCCCCCAAGTTGGTGGCAGCCCCTTACCCAGAGGACATTCTAGGGCGGCTAAGGGGTGGGCACGAAGGCAGCCCCCAGCCGTCCCCACAAGCTACCTCACCCTCGCGCTGGCTGTGGTATTGGGCGACCTGACCGGGAGGAGGATGGCGCGGGGGGGCGTCTAGGTGGGAGTCGGGCTGGCAGGGAGGTGAGCTTTGGGGTGAATCTTGACTTCATCCTCTCTGTGTGGCCTTGCTTCACCCACTGCCTCCTCTCCACCTGCGCCTGAAGATGAGCAGCAGCCGGCGGGGGAGAGGAGAGGCGGCCGGGGGATCAGTTGCTGGGGTGTACAAGGGACTCCCACTTCCCGAGTCCGGGCGCGGATTTCCATTCTCCCACCTCCTTCCCTTTCAGATGAAAGTGCCCCTGGGACTAAGCTGACCAGTGAACAAATAGGTGGAAAGAATTTGAGGATTTCTAAATGAAGAGGCCTCAGCAGCAGTGCTTTGCTGAAAAGCAAGAGCTGTGTCTGAATTACAAGAGCACTTCAGATTTATTTAAAGGCTGTGCTGCTCCCTGGGCAGTTGAAGTCTCTTTCTCTTAGAACCTTACAGAGAATGCTTTATGCAGAGTGTGCGTGTGGGAGAGACTATATAAACACACACACATACACACGTATATAATATGTATATATGGGGGGTAATCCCATAATAATTTACATATTAAATATGACGCAAAGTTATTGTAGGAGAACTGGTGGTGTGTCTTTAGAAAACCTGATGCATTGTGGTTCCCTGAATAAGGACAGAGTATTGGAGGTTTCCTTCTGGTGCTATTTCCTCTTTTTCTCTCTCGTTCCCCTTTCTTTCTCGATAGATGACAAATAAGAAATTAGGAAATGAAGAGGAAAGGGAAAATGAAGTTTTATTTTCTGTAGCCGAACGTGTACATTGCGATAATGAATGTTAAGGACATCTGTTGTGTTTATTAGGTTTGGATATTCCTCTTTCCTTTGATGTTTAGGGCAAATGACTTCATAATTTACAAAATAGTGAAACACTCTTCACCCATAAAATTGAATTCCATGGGCAAGCCAAGGAATTTCTGATAACTTCAAAGTAACTTTACCACCTCGACTGTGATAGCTGACTTCAAATTAGCTCTAGCACAATCGTTTGAAATGTGTTAGACTTTGCCCCAGAACGTATTTTGCTTTGTTTTTTAGTATTGTAATTTGCTAAAATTGAGCCCGAACTCCAAACCCGGCTTCATATTCATGTTCTCTCTCTTCCATTTGCATTGGTCTGTTTTCTGGGGGGGGGCGAGGGGGCTTTTTACCTTCCGTAGATGCTGGGTTTCCAGGCATGTGTTTTTAGGACATTAGCTCAGAATTTTTCAAGGATTGATTTATTAAACAAAACAAACAAACAAAAAATACTGTCACTTTCAGGTCATTGATTTGGTCATAACCAAAATCATTAGTGTCTGTCACTCATTCTTTGGTAATTACCATTCTGTGTCTTTTTTTTTTTTTTAAATGAGATAGCACTTTCAGACCCTAACTATCCATCCTGGTGGCAGGTGCCATTTAGAGACAAGAATAGACCGGCCCAGTGATCTTGATAATTCTCCACTTAGAGGGAACCCAGGAGGGAGAAGGGAATGAATTAGCCACTATTGAATGTATAGTCCTGCTGGGCACTGAAGAGTCACAGGTGCATATTTTTCTCAGAGCAGTCCTTCCAGGAGACGCTGTCTCATATTAACATTTGAGGAAACTGAGGTCCAGAGAATAAAGTAGAAATATCTGAAAACAATAAAAGATGGATGTGCTGTTGGCATGCCCACAGGACTGACGCCGAAAGCCAGTTACTTCCACTGCTTCCAAAGACCATGTTCTCTGAAACATGGGCCATGCCTCCTAGGGCAGACATTAAGAATATAACTGGGAAGAATTTTTGTAGAGGGCAGATTCACCTTGGTTTCCATGTTTAGACTTGCAGTTCTTTACATACATGAAAATGGATTTGAAAGTCAGAAGAGAAGAAAGTATTGGGTTTTGGAGCAGAGCTGTCTGTGTGCCTTTTTCTCCTTCCGCTCCCAGGAGTATCACACTCTGTCACTGTGTGAGGAGCTAGGTACTGTAATGGCAGATTCTCCTCCTCACTACTCTTAAAACACTTGCTTTCCATGCTCATTGTGTCATAAAATAGTAGTATTAATAATGTTATTAATAGCACTCATTATTTATTGAGTTACTACTTTACTCTGGCTACTCTCTGAATAGGCTCTCCACGCACATTATATCCAGCTGATGTTTGGATTATTCCTGAAAGAAATTATTATTGTGGTCATCTAGCACCCAAGGAAACTGAGGTTTAAAAGGATTAAGTAACTTGTTCAAGGACTAGGGCTAAGAATGTTATACCTAGATTTTTACCTTTAGTCCATCAAACTCCCAAGTCTCTGCCTTTTCTGCAGTTTACTCATAAACTCATAAATCCTTCTTCTGAATAAATTCCTCAAACAGAATGTCTCTTCTCTCATCTCTTACATTGCTTGTATTGTGGTTATGAAGGTTCATTGTGTGTGTGTGTATATGTGTGTGTATATTTTTACATCTATATTATATATAATATATATTTTATTATATACATGTATATCTTATGTAAATATATATATATGTCTTTAGCTTTCTAAAATTATAAAAGTAGTATCTTTCTTCACTATCTCAATCTTTGGATTTGTCTCATTCTCACTACATTTATTTATCTAAAAATTAGAAAGAAGGTATAGTTTGAGTTTACTCATTTTTATGTAGTGTTGACTTGGGGCTCAGGTTTAGAGTCTAAAAAGTTGAATTCAGATCCAAAGTATACTCTGCTGTAAGAGTTGAGAACACCAATTTCTGTGCTGAAAAAATTATTTAAGCTCATTATGCCTTAATTCCCTAAGTCACAGGATTTTGAATATCAAATTAATTATTCTATGGAAATGTCAACCTTGGCCTAGAGTTGATACTCCATAAATGGTCACTATATTATTAACATTATTAGTAGTAGTTAAAATAATGAGTCAGTAAATGTTTACTGAATTCCTGTGTTCCAAGCACTCTATCTGGCAGAAGAGAGAATTCAGCAGAGTAGAGGCTGGCAAAGGCAACTTTGGAAGTAAACCATGGTCACTGATTCTAAGGAGTTTATAGCCTAATTTGGGAAATTAGGTAAAACACTTAAAGATCATAATATAAATAATAATGATACAAGTTATGCATGTATACATACAGGAGGTGCCAAAATGTATACACATTTTAAGAAAGGAAAACACCGTATTAAAATTGTAATGCTCGATATATGCTGATAACAAAGGATGAACACAAGTCATGTTTGAGCCCCTCTTGTAATTGCAGAGTCAAACACAACTTGAGTATTACAATTTTAACACAGTTTTTCCCCATTTTTAAAAATGTGTATGCATTTTTTTATCACCCTCTTATATATGTATGTGTATACCACAAAGACCTCTGGTAGTTCAGAAGAGGATAGGGCCATTTGTGTTTGGAGGCATGAGGGATGGGTTCTGGGGGAAGATGGTGGTAGTTGAGATGCATCTTGAAGGAGAGGCTGAAATGGAATTTACTGCAGGACATCACAGCAGCAACTTGGTGAACAGCCCAGGGAGGCAGCAAATACAGACTGTACTCCTAAAAGAACACTTGGTTAGTCTTGTTTCTAAAAGTGATGTGTGGGGAAAACAGGGTGTACAACTAAATATGAAGGCTGGGGTCACCGATGGGAGCTAGAAACTGGATTGAGAGTTTTTCTCAATTTGCTAGGAATTAAGCTGATGGATGGTGTTTTAGGACATTTTAAGGCAGCAATATGTAAGACTCTTATATTATCAAAATATCTGTATAAGATAATTTTAAACTATTCTTAGGTCTATTTTGTGTTACCTAATATTATTATTCTAATTGTGTTGTCATAAAACCCCTATAAATTGGGCTTGTTTATGTAGATGAAATGGTGTATACACTCCTTGAAAACAGGTGCTATTTAGTTTTATCTATGTGTCATTTGCCAAAGTGCTGTATATAGCTCATAGAGATGGAAATTTAATTTGTGATCCTGGGTTTTCACTGATGAAGAGAATTGTTTATGACAGTGGGTTCTGCTCTTCAAATTTGGCTACAGTGGCCACCCAGTATAGCTATGTTTCATTAGACCTCAGAACAACACAGGTATTTAAAGGATATGAAACTAGATCACCATCATCGTAGAGCTAGAATAAAGGGAAAGCAATGTGGTACCAACCAAGGTGGCCCCTGACACCAAGTGGGACAGATTTAAAGGCTGAGGTTCCTCCCTGATTCTTTAGGTGTACATCCTCAGGAAGCTCTAGACCCTGAGGCTCAAATTTGAGTGAGGTAGCTCCCGTCACTATCCCAAGGGTGCCAGTGTCATTAAGTATGGTGAAGGCAGATGACAGAATTGCATCTTGTACCCAGAGCCCCATCATGCTGGATCAAAGTGCCATGGACCATGAACCTTACCTTGGATGTCCCCTCCTATCCCCACTCCTGGAGCAGTCTCTGGTGGTGTGGGGTAGGAGAGGAAGCACAGGCAAGTGTTTCAGACAAGTCCTGCTTTCTCCCACTTGCCATGTAACTTGGGCAAAATTTTCTTATTCACAAACTGGACATAAAAACATTCGTTTCTTAGAGAGTTGGTACAAGTGTGTAGAAGTTCAGATCCCAGACTCTGGAGCCTGATGGCTGGGTTTGAAGCCCACATTCCTGCTGTGGGAAGTTGAGTCAGTTACTCCCTCTCGGCATGTTTCTAACTATTCTATGCATAATAACCCAGTGCACTAGTCTCAGGGGTTGTTAGGAGTATGAAATGGGTTAACCCACGTGT